TATTTTTGGTGTGTACTCAGCTCCACGTGTGCACTGAGGCACCACTAAGCTCTGTGGCATTTGAGCTTCCAAAATGATGCCTCTGAGCCCACCACCCCACACACCAGCAAACCCCAGTGCACATCAGCATCAGTCCATGACATCAATGGCATCACTTCTTTCTTTCTTTCTTTCTTTCTTTCTTTCTTTCTTTCTTTCTTTCTTTCTTTCTTTCTTTCTTTCTTTTTTTTAGGACCACTATAAAACACTTGTGCATAAGGTCTCACCTTCAAAATCCTTCATTTCTAAATCGAGAGGGAGGCCTTGTGAGAGTATCACCTGGGAGTGACAGAGAATTGGGACAGTTTTAGCTCAGCAGAACGTTGTCCAAATCACAATAGTTGGAGCTAACAAAAGATGGGAAAAGACCACCAACCAATCCCCCCAGAAGAGGCAATTAGACAATAGATAATTACAATTTAACTGTAGACTAAGCAATTTGGCACTAGATTTTGGCACTCTGAGTCCTATTTCCTAGCAGGGATGTCACTCAGGTTCGCACAAGATGATCACAATCCCTAAGTCCCCTAAAAAATATCTCATTGGATTCTACTAGATTCTCAGTTCCTAAAATTGAGCTCAAGGGCGTTAACTTCCTCACATTTCCCCTGCATTGAGCACAGGCACACCTTGATCACACCGCTTCATGTTTGTTCCAAGTTTCTCTTAGCAAGGATAAGCATGCAGGTGGAGTGACATAGTGATCCGTAGGGGAGTATTGCTCGGATTTAGCAGAGAGCAAAAGAACTGCCTTAAAGAACAGATCTGATGTGAGGCAGCCAGATAGCCCCTTGTCTGAACTACTACAGACTGTGCATATTTTGCTCTGGACTGAATGCAGCATGTTGTTGTTCACATTACAGCATCTTGCATGGGGATTTGGCTGCGTGGTGACTCATCCCAACCCCGTCGTGTTGGACAAGGGGAAGGATTACTCAGAAACGTTAGGGCTTGTGCTCTCTTATCATAACAAGAATATAATATACCCAAAGCAAACACTGACAGGAGGCTTTGAGCTGCCTGATGTTTAGAGATTAGACGTCTCAGGTGTTTAAGAAGAAGAACAAAACCAAAAAATGCCGTTGCATGTCATGCCTGTGACCCAGGCGAGGAGCAAACCCACGTGCACTATTCCTTGCTCCCTCTGATTCCTCTTTTTATGTTTAAAAAATAAACACTGAGAAGAATAAAAAAGATTCATTTCCACCACTCCAGCTGGCACTGATGGAATTATCTGAATGCACGGTGCTTTAAATGAAACACCTGCTTTCCAAAGAACTGCCCACGTTATACATTAACCATTGCTGCTGGCCCTCAAAGGACGTGCGCCAAGCAGAACTGATGGCTGCTGGAGCTGTATATCCCATAGCATTGGGTTTATCCAACACCCTGCAGAGTCTTGCTCAAACTCAAGTGAGCCCACCATGTCCAGCCCACCATCAGCTCTGCAGGAAGAGTCTGTTCTCCCCTACAGATATGCTGGGGAGATTCCTTCCGTGATGGTGTTGGCTGCAAGTCCTAAACTAGGAAAAAAAGCCCTAGGAAAATCCTAATGTGTGAATGGAAAGATACGCTTTTTTTCTCCTCTTAAAATCTTAATTGCTTACAGACGTCTTCCCTTCTGAAAGAGTTATTTAAAGACGGCGATAATGAGACGATAACATATGCTTACATTGCTAGCAATTAAACCATAAAAGCTTTTCCTACCTGGAGAACCTGGGCATACCCATATGTTGCAGCAAGGTGCAGAGCTGACTGCCCTTTGTTGTCTACAGCATTGACATCTGCTCCTGCCTGGATCAAATCGTGGACGATCGCTGGCTGCCGGGCAGTGACGGCCACCAGGAGCGGGGTCTGGAAAGGGCAGCACAGCAGAGAGCCCTGAGAGTCTGGAAGGAGATGTGATCGTAAAAAAAGAAAGGGAGAGGCAGACTGGGTTGGATGGGATCTAGAAGGCCAAGGGTTGTGGTGCACAAGCCAAGGGGAGCTCAAAGGCAGATTGAGAGTCCCACGGCACCGTGAGTGAGGGGCACTTCCCAGCTCCTGCTGAGCTCTCCAGCCTTAATTCAGATGGCAAATTAAGAGCAGCACTTTCAGAATGCCAGAGCAAGGCATAGCACTGCTCAGAGCTACTCCTGCAGTAACAGAGAGGCTGAAGGGGGATTTTCCCAGCATCAGTTGCTCTCAGCCACGCAGCTTTGCCCATCCCAAATGCTGCTGTTTGCAGGAGGAGGTGGTCAGCGTTACCTTTCCTCTGTGTTCCTTGGCATCAAGTCTCCGCAGCTCCTTCATGCGCTCTGCAGCTGCCAACGTAAACGCCCTCATACCTTTAGCTGCATAAATATGTAGAATTCTAAGACAGTAAATAAAGACATCGATCACTGCTTGGCCATGGATCACCCTGGAAGCAAACAGTTTTACAGGGTAACAGCGCTGCTTTGGGGGTTTTATACCCAGAGTTCCCCCCAACTATGCCATAACCCCAAGGGCTTGAGATTCAGATAACCCATTTCCAGGAACTGGATTTCCTACCTCAACATAACTGCTGCTTTCCCAATCCCTCAGCACCCCGAGTTTTGCCATGCTGGCTCCTTTCCATCAGCACTTTCCCTCGGGTGAGCTTGACACTTGTGCCACGATGTACCAAAGTCCCCCACAAACTCAGCACTGGGGCTCCCACTGGTTTGGGGTCACACAGCCCTGCATGCCATGGTAGCATAAAACCTTGGCACAAGGCAACCCTAGCAGCCCCATTTGCTCCTCTCCAGACAGCAACATTCAACACTTCTTAGTCATAAATCAGTGGGCAGTCGCTTCTTCCCCCAGGTGATTTTGTACCCCAGAGCCACAGCTTGCAATTTTAGGAAGTAGAAATGCAACTTCACGGCTGGTCTGGTTTGCAGTCAAGCTCAGCATGAGCTGTGAGTGCACACCATGCATCCCCATGGTTACCAATAGCAGATAACTGTGATCAAACCAACACCCAAACAGCAGCAGTGCTTGTGTCAGCGAGCAAGCAGTGCTCCCAGCCCACATTTGGACCACAGAGATCCTCTTTAGCCTGCCTCAATGTGCAAAACTAGCAGAAAGCCCAACAGCTCCTTGGGCTCTGGGCTGTAATCATGGGCTGACTGCTAACCCAGCGCTGGGTTATACTTTTGTGTAGGAAATAAAACACTCTAGGCATATGGAAGTTACTGTAGATCTTTATTGGAGAATAATTTGTCTTTTTCTAACCAGAACAACCCAGAAAGAAATTCTGAAGTAGTTCGTCTTTGGTATCCACACACAGAATTTACATACATCGAAGTGAAAGGAATTAAAATGCAATCTTAGCAACCACAGGTTTGGTTCACACACCTATTATCCCAGTTTTACTGAATGATTCTGTACTCATAAAACTGGAGTAAGCAGTGGTGAACCAAACTCCTTCTAATTAATTTCTTTGCTGGGTTTTTCTGCAAATGTAAGCCACTAATTTCAATGCGCCTGGACTTCTGCTATTTTCAAGTGACTTTATGATCACTTACATGATCTATTGCTCGTGTCTTCTAGATTTGTGAATATTAAACAATGAAATATGCTTTGAAAGTCCTCAAGACTTTTGCTCTGATCTTGCAAACCTCACTCAGGCATATAACATTAAGGTTACTTGAAATATTGCCTGGGTGGCAACTGGAGTGCTGGGCACCAGGCAGTCATCAGTGCAATAAATTACTTTGCATAATCTCACAAGTACTGAATTCAGCTAAGGATCCTGGGCTTCAGAAAGCAGAAAAACCCAGAGAAATTGTGTTCACCAGCCAAGAGCCCCCAGGTTTTTTTTAAGGAAATGATAAACAAAAATCAGAAGGGGGTACATCTCCTGCAAGTATGTTTGTGGCATGGTACTCCTGAACATCAACAACAATATTTACAGTGGCATCAGAGGAAAAGGTAAAGCTACTCATTGTCTGGGAAAGAAAACCAGAAAGCCATAAAGAGAATGTGTGCACCTGTGAGCTTGGGAAACTACAGCGCAGAGGAACTTTCCATAACAGCAAGGCACAAGAGAGGTCACTAAGGTTCCCTGGCTCAGCACACCAACAACTTCATACTCAAATGCTACAGAAGAAATGAAAGTATTGCCAGCTAATGGTCACAAGTTTCTTGTTAGGCTGAAGTCCAGATTTTGGAAGACCCTGTCTTCTCAATGATTTGCTGATATGGGGCCATGTTGTGCAATCCTGACTCAGGCAAAACTCTCGGTGACGTCAGTGGGACCAGGATCTGTCCATTGGTAGAACACGCAGCATTACCAGCCAGCCACAGAACCAGCCCCCCATCTCCAAGATGAAAATTCAGAGTCCAAAAAACACTCTGTTGATGAAAGACCACGACTGCAAAGCACTGTCCTTCAATACCTACACATCTGTCTGACAGGGACAGATAAGGTGAGAGCTTTGAGTTTCACCTTCACGTGAAATCAGAGGTTTCACCCAGGCCACTTTGCATTGCTCTGTGCACAGGGACACCCAACTGCACTGTCATGCAGTTCAACTGTGTTGACTTTTCATCTTTGTACTGATGCACCCATTTGCACCAATAGAACAAATGTACCTTCTACATTTTCTTGTTTTCCAAAGGGGTGGTTTAGTTTTGATAAGTACCAATGCAGGCCCCCAAACATTCTCTAGCGGCATAAACAGCTCTACAGACAGAGCAAAGACATACACAAGGCATTAGCTCTAGAAAGCAGTCCTACTGGAAAGGTCTTGCCAACACTTAGAGGCGAGGGACCCTCACCAAACACTGCAGTTGGCCGTGGCTACACTACGGTTTGTCCATTTCAGGCTGTGAGATGAAAGTCACCTCGTGCTGAGGCTGTAACAGCACAGACATTGGGTGCTGGGCCCCAGGACAAAGCAAGTTTCACTCAGCACTCAGCCACGGTGTGCTGGAAGTGGACAATAAAACCCCAAGTCAACTCTGGGCTGGGTTTCCTCTGTACTCAATGCTCATGGTGGAGCATTAAGTATACAAGGACCGGACCCAAGATGTGCAACTTAAAGCCCTTCAACAGAGAGAGCGTGGTTTAACACATACGTATCATTGTCTTCATCTTCTAGAAGCAGCTTCTCTATGGGCAGCGTGCCGATGACCCTCCTGGCATCTTCCAGCTCCTGCGGGGCTGGCTCAGGGATGGAGATGGGCAGGGGCACAAATTGTGGCGTGGGGAGCGTGGAAGAGGCCGGCTGGTACTGCAGGGTAGGGGCTGGCAGTGCTGAGAGGGGCTGTGCCCACGGGAAGTAGGTGATGGGTGGCTGCTGCTCCGTCACCTCCAGCTGGGGCACCACGGCCGGGGTGCTGCTTCGGGGCTGGTGGGAAGGAGAGACATTCAGCAGAATAAAAAAACCATTGGGCATTGGGTGGGGCGTGGGGAGGACGGGAAATGAGGGGAAGGATGCTCAGTCTCACTTTGAACATCCCTTTTCCTGTCTCTCTGGGGAAGCTTTACACCCAAGGTGACAGTTTTCCCACGCTGCTCCCATGAGAGCAGTGGCTGTGGGTGTCCCAGGTGCTCGCGGGCAGTAGCTTGTGCTCATGACGAGTTCCCTTCAGCTTTCTGTTCCTACTCCCACCCTCGCTGCAAGGCCATGAAACAGCTTTGCTCTGCGCTGAATGCTGCCTTCTTTGGCAGCATTTTTTTACCAAGCCATTTTCCTGGCATGTCCAGTAGGTGTTTCCTAGAATTCCCTTCACTTCTGTTTTTTTTTTTTTTTTTTTCCAAATATTTGGAATTAAATAGTGAAGAATCCCATGAAGACTGCACAGACCTCTGAAGGGACAGCTTCCTTCCTATCCCTGAAGGCACTCAGGGTCAAGTGGGATGGGGCCCTGGGCAGCCTGAACCACTGGGCACTGCCCGTGGCAGAGGGTTGGAACTGGGTGATCTTTGAGTTCCCCTCCAATCTGAGCCATTCTATGATTCTTGATCTGACAACAGTGTTTATGGACCATGGAATAAATCCACTCAGAACTACAGCTTTCTCAGCTACTGCAAATCCAAGATGAAGAACCCCTACTCCAGTTGGAACATATGACAACAGTAAGCTGAACACTCCCCATTAATGTTCCTGAGCTGCAAACAATACTCCCTGACAATAAATAACTGTCCACAGAGCCAAACAAACTCAAGGCAATGGCAGCCCTGTTGCTGACGTGGTGGGAGATGACTCATTTCTCAGGACAGCAGCAAGAACAGGCTGTATCAATAACATGAAAAGTGCTGAAGGAGTGTGGAGAGCTGGAGAAATGGCAGAGGAGTCTCCAATTTCAAAGCAACTTCAAAGCTCTCCAATGCTCAGCATAGTACAGAAGGGGCTAGGCTATGAGAACTACATGCAAGAATGAGCTGCATGATAATAATCAAATTATGTGAGTTATAACCTGCACTCCCCATTGACGCTTTCTGGAAGGTGGGGAATTTGCCATCATTTATACTTTTTTATACATTTATATCTTTGACTTACCGTGAAATTGGTGATCAGTGGCTGAGAAGCATAAGTCAGTACAGACGAAGGTCCAACCAAAGTGTAACTGGGACACATAGGCTGGATGTACATGTCTGCAGTGTAAGGACAGCTGGCTGCTTCGTGGGACACGTAGTCGGGGTAAGTGGTCCACTGAGTCAGAGGCTGCAGGGATGAGGGAGAAGGCTGGGAGAGCCAGCTGGAACACAGTGCTCCTTCCTCTGCGCCGGGCAGTGCAGGGGCAGCAGCATCTACATCAATGCACGGCTGGCCTGG